GGATCGAACCAGTGACCTTCTGGTTCCAGGACGACTCCCCTAACCACTCCGCCACAGCCGCCCCAACATCAATGCTTTTTACTTGTAATAGGATGTTCATTGAATAACTTTGATATTGCAGGCACACCTCCTGGTGGTGAAACAGATTATTGTAGGGAGACAGTAAATTGGCACGACCTGTCATGGATTATGAACAAACAAGCCTTTTTTTGTTTCTGTCTTAAAGTAATTTTCTTTTATGCTATCTGAAACAGAAAATGAAACTCAAATCATTTAAAAAATTTTGCTCATCCCCTTTTGACACTAAGAATGAGAAACGCTTTGTATTTTAATTTTAATTTCAGTATTTTGGAACAAAAATCAAATATCCAATTGTTTCTTGTTTTTTAATACCCGTTTCGAAAATGAAAATCCAATGACCAAAAGATACACTGACCCTTCTGGGTCAGTGTATCTTTTGGTCATTGGATTTTCATTTTAGAAACAGGTATTAAAAAACAAGAAATGAGTGGTCATTTGATTTTTGTTTTAAAATATAGAAACTAAAATTAAAATACAAAGCGTTTCTCATTCTTAGTGTCAAAAAGGGATGAATGATTTTTTTTAAATGGCTTGAGTTTAATTTTCTGTTTCAGATAGCAAAAAAGAAAATAAAAAACAGGAACGAAAAAGGGCTCATTTGTTATTTTACGACTATCTATTCCCCTCACCAGAAGCGGCGCTAGCCTGGCAACTCTGCATAATAAAACACAAATTTCTGTGAATAAAAGTCTGAAACACAGACGTGTATCTCCATAAATGAGTTGTATGATGACTGTTGCTCTGTGACCAAAGGCTTTGCAGAGATACCTCATGTGGCTTTTGGCCAAATAAATCTTTTTTTTTTTTTTACGGAATCCATGTTGGCTACTGCCTCCACTTCACCTCCATTTCTCTGAATAAAAAGCAAATTAAGATAAATTTCATTCCATTAGTGTGTTGAACAGTAGTTGTCGTGTAAGCAGGAAGTTCTTTTTTTGCATCCTGGGAGTGTTCCTTTCAGCGAGGGGTGGGCGATTCTACGACTTTGATACTGATCTCATACCAAATAAATACTAGGCAAATATATTTGATTCCAAAGTCAGTATCAATGCTTTTTACTTGTAATGGGATGTTTATTGAATAACTTTGATATTTTGTGGTAAAAACAAATTATTTTAGGGATACAGTAAGTTGCACAACCTGTCATGGAATCTAAACAAACAAGGCTTTTTTCATTTCTGTTTTAAATTAATTTTCTTTTTTGCTGTCTGAAACAGAAAATGAAACTTAAGTCATTAAAAAAATGGTCATCTCTTTTTGACACAAAGAATGAGAAACACTTTGTATTTTAATTTTAATTTCTATATTTTAAAACAAAAATCAAATAACCACTCGTTTCTTGTTTTTTAATACCCATTTCCAAAATGAAATTCCAATGACCAAAAGACACACTGACCCTTCTGGTTAACTTTGTTGTACACCTTGTATGAATGGAAAACTACTTGTTTATAGGTGTCTGGCTGAAGCAATGCAGCAATCAAAAAGCAAATATCAAAAATAGAAAGTATTTGTAAAGCTCGTTCTTACGAAGCCAGCAAAGGGACATGGGGGGGATTTTTTTATTTTTATTTTGAGTTACCTCGCAAAAGTTTTTTGCCTTCTCATGCAAAAGTTTTATGTTTTGTATGAACTGAATTATATCCATGGAGGTATATATACAGTAGAACAAGGTTATTCAAGTCTGAGATTAAATCAGACTTTTATTTTGAAATATTCGGTCACTAAAACAGGATGTGTTGCCACAAGTTTGGGAAATTGACGGTGATATTTTGTGACTGCACAGAGTTAAAATATCTGTATATTAAAGTGCCTGTGACATCAAATTTTTTGCAATAAATATGAACACATTTTTGGAAAGACAACATAGATAACATATTGCAAAAATAATTTCACTCTGCTGAGATGAACAGTTGTTGAGATATTTGCATGTGAAGTAACAGGAAGTGATGTCAAAGGGGAATGTCTGCATGTAAACAGAGCATTGCTACAAGGCTAACAACATAGACTATAAAGACCCTGATGTTTCTTTAGATTATTTTGAGTCACTATCAAAGAGATCAAGAGTCAGAGTTCAAATAATATTGTCACAATAAAAAAACAGGGAGTTCCTTTTCTTAAAGAGTTCCCCTTTGATGTCACTTCCTGTTTCATTTTTGGCTGAGCCAAATACTGAAGAAAATCTGCCAGTTGTGTGACAAAATAGGCAAAATTGTGTGTAATATGCAAAGTTTCTTAAATATTAAGAAGTTTTCTTTGACTTATTGTATTTGAGTGAGATGCATGCATGAGGTACTTTAAATATCTCCATGCGTGGTTCTGATACATTCATTCCAAAGCTGAAATAAAGCAGGCTCTGGTATAATGGTGAGCATGTGAATTTGTTAATAAATTGGCAGGCACAACAGTAATAAACTGCTTTTGCGAGGGAACGCATAAAGTATTGCGAGGTAACGCAAAAGAAAGAAAATCTCCCTTTTGTTCTCTCGCAAGAGTCCGTACATTCTAACGTTTTACTCAAAAAATAATTCAACATCACAGGCCTCATATAATAGTTTTAAAACCTCCCTTTCCCTGTGTTCAGTCAGGTTTACTGAATTAAAATCAGCACAAACTGGTTTCAGTGTAACGAATGTAAACTGTTTGGTTGTGGGTGTGCACATTAAAAGGCATGTCACGTGCTCAGAAACTGTCATGTAAAATCTAATCCAACCTCTCACATTTAGGACATTTAAATTCTAAGCAAGTTAAAAGCACACATTTTAAAACTACTTAACTCTAAAGTCAGCGCTAAGCAGATACAAATGTTTTGACAGACTTTAAAAAATTGGAAAAAAAGATGGACACCACAGACTTTCTGTCAAAGCACAAGGTTTCAGGTCTTAAAAAGCTTTTAAAACAGAACGTATAAAAAGGCAAAAACATTTAAACTCTGACCCCTTCAGAAGTTTTCTTTCTTCATGAGGGATTTTGCACGAGTTAAGAAGGTCAAACTTTCTAAAAAACCCTTGATGTTACTGCATAATGCATCGTGTTTTTACAGTTGAAGGCTACAATTTTTGTAGAGAAAAAGAAAAACAAACACTTCTTAGGTTTCAGATTTAAAAAAAACTTTAAAACAACCAACAACAGCCCACTTCTGACCAGTCTAAAAGGCTGTATCCATAATATAATAATAACTTGTCAGACAGCACGAAATAGGAGACAAACTTGGAACAAAATGAAAAAGTGTCTCCACTTGTTCTCCTGTCCTCACCAGCTGCATGAGGTTCTTGCCGCTCTGCGAAGTGATGACCCTCAGGTCCGGCTTGCGGCTGTTGACCATCTGAGGGCTGGGTGGAGGTGGAGACTTAGCCGACACCACTTTCCCCAGGCTGTTGCTGTTGGATATGGACAAGAGGCTCGGAGAGGCCCTGGCACTGATGTAGCCATTAGCTGGAGAGACAGAAATAAACAGAATGAGGTTTAGTGAAGAGGCAGGTAAGGAGGTGTTTTTTTTGTTTTGTTTCCTCTGATGTTTTCAGCGTCTGTGTCTACCTGTGAACTACGCTGTTTTTGTGTTTGTGTGTTCTCATTAGTGAGTTGGAACTCTTTTGTCGTACCACATGCTCTTCATCATTTCTGCAGCTCAAACACTGTTTTTTTTTTTTTTGGCGGCGTTCTGATTTTTCTATAGCTCTTTCACATCAAAACCGTGCCACGCTCCTCTCCCCTGAACTATTTTGTTTTCACTCCCGCTATCTCCCCGCTTCACTTCTTTTCTTTCTTTTTTTTTCTTTTTTTTTTTGTTTCACTCGTCTCGACTCGGTGTAAACAGAAACACAAAAATGTCTTTGGGCTCTTTCCATTTTGAAATGTAAAAGAATACTTTTCTAAACAAGTCAGTTTTACTGTCATTAGGCCCTGGAAGAGCAGTCTTCTGTGAAGTAGAAAACACAACCCTGTGATACTGTTTAATCATTTCAGCACTTCAAATATAAAAACTAATAAGTTCAAAATGGTATATTTACATAGTTTTTCTTCTCTGTAAGTCAGAGCTATTCAACTAGCGACCCGCGGGCCACATCCGGCCCGCAAGTGACCAAAATGCGGCCTGCCTGTTTTCTACTTTAATTACTATGAGTTATTTTAGTTAAACATATACATGTTTGGTATCTACAGAAATGTCAGAATCTTGACTACAAGCTGGTAAAATATTTCTATGAATATTGAAGACAGTTAAAACTACAAGCAGTTGAAGATAAAACTATGAAAGTCAAAATAAAATTGGTTTAAAAAGTTGGCAATTCAGAGATGTCAAAATATTTGTTAAATACGAGGCATAATGCGTTATTTTTGTTTTTATATTGTTTTATTATCACTACTTTTATTATAGGGTTCTGTATGTTACATTCATGATTAAATGCAGCTAAATAAACTATTTCAAAGGTAAGAGATCTTTGTAATACTTGGTTTATTTACATAATGACTTTAATTGCTGGATGTTCAGCCCCTGAACTGTTGGCCTGCAGTAAATGTGGCCCTGGAGCAGTTTAGTTGAATAACCCTGCTGTAAAGCCAACATTTTGCCCCAATTAAAGTTCAAAAACTGGGTAACAAACAATGTTTGGTGCAGTTTGTTTTTGCTTAACATATATTTTTAAAGCATCTCATAATTGTAACTCTAGATGACAAGACTACAAAAACATACAGTATGCATATTTAAAGAAGAGGAACAATATTTAAACTGGTGGTTAGATTAGTTTAGTTCTGAGTGTGCATCTGTGCAATAAAATTTTTTATGAAAGGTCACTGATAACATTGATTGAGTTAACTTGAAAAATAAATATATTCTTGTCTTCATGGGGTTTGTTCACTGCACAAAGATATAGAATACATATCTTAAGATTGAGATTCTAATAAGATTTCTTCTTTCTGCAGCCTTTCATTCAATAATTCATTTATTTTGGGGGGGTTTTCATTGAATTTTTGTTGATTTTAAGAGTGAAATAAACTAATAAATTAAAAAGTAGAATTTAAACAGTTTTGTTATAATAAGATATAAATAACTAACTTTATTTTCTACCTGATTTAATAGCCCTTTTGCCTTTTTGTTTGTTGGGGAGATTCCTGTAACATGACAAACCACATTACAGAAGTGTGCTGGTTAAACACACCCTCCTTTCAAAGTGCACAAGAGTCACATTCTTAACCTTTACACAGAAGCACAACAATTATTCAGAGAAACAATAATACCTGACATACAACATGATCACGCTGTGAGACAAGACATTCTTTAATGTGATCACGTGAGTGGATACTTATTTTTTTAAATCACCATTTAAAAAAAATCTCTCGTTTCTTTTTGCATATTCAGTTTTAGGTGAGGACATTTTGAACTTTTAAATGATAAGCCGCACCGTGTCACAAACGAGTATATTTTGACGAGTGTTTGTTTTACGGCAACTGAGTTCTGAGGAGGTAAAAAAAAATGAGGGGAGCGGGGTTAGATGTCATGATAACAAGACTCCAGCAGTCAGCAGCCTGTCGTTGCTGCTGAGCTTAAACGACAAGTCGATTTCAACAGAGACTGAATCACAGCGAATAAGAGAGGGACAGTGGGGACTTTCCCAGTACCCACCCACCCACACACACACACACACACACACACACACACAC